CAGAACTAGTTCTATACGTCATCTTGACCATCAAGGTCACTTTGGGTGAGGTCATCTCCATCCTGGGTATCGCTGGTAACGTGCTCAACGTCCTTGTGTTTGTCAGGCAGGGGTTCAAGGACACGGTCAACATAACCTTGGTAGCTCTAGCGGTCAGTGACCTCGGGGCGCTGGTCAGTCTCCAAGTCTTCAACGTCCTGGTCAACCCCTGGTTAAACTGTGAGGACATCAACTTCTCCCCCATAGACATATCTGTTGTGGTGTCATTCACCCCGCACAATTACTTCATCAGGGTGTGTGGATTTACCACAGCTTTCGCCACATTTGAAAAATGTCTCTGCGTAGCTCTGCCACTTAAATTTAAAGCTTACATTACGAAAAACGTCGTTCTTGGTGTTAACATCACCATCTACATCATCACCTTACTGAACGTGTTCCCCGTCTACTACACTACTTACCTAGACTGGGTGTTCTCCCCTGAGAGAAACAAGTCAATTCTCCAAGTCGTTTTTAACCAAAACAGAGAGCGCGTTTTTCGTGTTTCGTATTTCATTACCGATCTCTTCATCCCTTACCTGCAATTCATCATCATCATCATATGTACCGTCATCACCACGATCAAACTACAACAACGTCTACATTGGAGATCTAACAATACAAGTTTTTCAACACGGGAACAGATATCTAAAAAGGAAGCAAAAGTTATCAAAATGTTATCAACAGTGGCAGTTATTTTCGTCGTCAGTCTCCTCCCCCAGACGGGGATACTTACTGCTGTGGGGGTGGTGCGGGGGTTGAGCGTCCACGGGACTCACTTCGACATCACCCTGGTGATGTTTTGTGTGTCTTACCTATTGGAGATCATCAACTCTAGCGTCAGCGTCATTGTGTACTATAACATGAGCACCAAATATAGGCGAACTTGCAAACAACTCAAATGTGGAGTACGTTTAATAAACAAATAGTAAGATGTTAATTGCAGATCAGTGAAAAAAACTGTATTCCTGAATGTTAATTATTTTAATCTACGTTGATTGTATCATGCAATTTCTACGTGATATGTACAGTTAAACAATATTGTCCTTGTTGAAAGAGAATAGTTTAGACGGCATCCGAGTATTCGACATCACCCTGAGACGAATCATCTCGCCTGTCAAGTATAAGGGCAAATACATTGGGCGTGTAAAGTGGAGTTCTATAACGTAACAATACCTGTAAAATAAATCAGTAACAACGTGTGTGAAATACATGAGCATTTACAAAGTAACGAATACAGTTTGGACAATCTATCGCGGTATGCTGTAGGTTGAGGGTTTTATGTGTGTGTATGTGTGCGTATGTGGTATTATGTGGGCAAAGAGTTAGAATTAAGTATGAGCGTGAGACTGTTGTGTGTGTGTGTATTGGTGTGTGGGGGTGGGGGTGGAGAGGGAGAGGGAGCTTATGATTCATAATTACAGTGGATTACGAGATTTGAAATTAAAGGTTATAATTAAAGGTTTATTACAAGTTTTTACAGCTTATCTGTTAAAAATTAAAGTGGGATGAAATATTTGAAAGCTTCCATTGTTGAATAATTGAAATTTTGGTTTTTGTTTGATCAATACATACTTTATAATATTCAGATTTTGTCTTTGGAATAAATTACAAAATCATTTAGTGAATAAACAGCAATTTAAAATTAAAATGAATTCAGACACATTTATTGCTCCATTAACATAGTCCAAAATGTTCGGTAAGACCATTTTATGTCAATCAGCAGTCCATGAAATGGCTCCTGTGTTACACTGGATCAATCTAATTTCTAAATTCTGATTGTCTATTGCATTAAAACAAAGCACCCCATTAACTACTGCATTCACATCCACGCCAATCGCCGTGATAAATTGACGAACATCTAATTGACAATAATTAATACATTAGTCTATTACTAAATTATCGATGTGTTTAATTGCAAAAAATGTCGGCATGAAAAACATAATAGGGTTCAAAAACTTTATTTCTCATCTTCATTCCAACGCCGCTGCAACACAGTGGCGAAACTAGAAATAAAAAGCCCCCTCCCCCCACAATTTCGAGGCCCGGTCGAACAATGTGTGAACGTGTTACATGCTCCCATTTGGCTGTCGAGGGGGAGTGAAAAGTCACGAAATGCATTCAAATTTGAAGTTTTACCAATTTTTTGAAACTACATTTTGTGTGGTGGTTTTTAAATGTTTTAAGGAAGAAAGTGTTGTAACCACTGTAGAATTAAAATAATCCGACCGCACCTACATTATTTTTTTTACAAAGCAAGCGCAAAGGCGAAAATATAAAAATAAAAACAAAAAAAGACAAGAAAAATTATGGTTGGCCGTGGGGCCCCTAAACGTCCTGGGCCTCCTGCGTTGCACGGCCTGAAGGTATAGTAGTTCCGCCCTTGCTGCTAAGCTGTTTCGCTGAACAAATGAACGCTAAGTTGTTGATGCATGTTTTCCAGTTTTTCAAAAGTGCATTCTTCTGTGCTTGGAATCTCACTGACTGTTAAAGATGCCAGTCGTTAAGGTCCTGGTCAGCACAGGATAACACACGAGAACATCGACTTCTCACCCATCGTCATATTTGATGAGGTTTCATTCATTGAACCGGCGTCTCTACACATAACATAACACTTAGATCACGACTAGACTACTGCAACAACGCGAGTGTACCATTTATTAATCAACCCGCACATCTGTCGTGTTAGATCAAACACTTCACTCCTACACATGGTTCCACTTGATTCAATGCCAATAGGTTTCACTTGATTCAATGCCAATAGGTTTCACTTGATTCAATGCGAATAGGCAGTGCCTATATTTTTTATTTCAGCCTAAAGAGCGTTATCTCACTATTATTTTTAATTTAAAAAAGACGATAAATCAATACTTTAAATTTTTTTTATTGTATGTACATTTATACTAAGTATACAATAGGGCTTTTAAGTCTACGGTCTCGACATCTACTAGCTGCATAGTACGAAAACGAGAAGTTGTGACCTACTTACAAGCCCTATATAGGTCTATATTTAAAGGATTAACAATTCTGGTATACTCTCTGCATATCTGGCAACATAGCTTACGCCAAAATATATAGGTAATGTCTATCCACTGGTCCTCTCAGCTGTGTGGATAGAGTAGGCCTGAGACAATGGTAAAATGTGGTCTTCTCGACTTGCTACACAGACATTGTCCCTTCAACTGGTTGGAGAAGGTAGGCCTGATACATTCGGACTTGCTGTTCTTCTTCTTCTTCTTCGTTCTTAATTATTAGTGTTGGAGGGGATCGAGATTTATCTGCCAGTGGGTTTGAACTCGTGACTTTGTTCGAATTTATCAACCATGAGCTTTTTTTTTTTTTTTTTGCCGACTCGAACACGCCTCCAACACAATTAAGCGTTACGTGTCAACTGGTTATGCGCCATTGAGGCCATTGACTCCGATTTCAGCCTGCTTTCCTTTTTGGATTTGCTTCCATAGCCTTTGTCCAACCAAGAACAAACTACAAGGTAGCAGTTGTTTTTTTAATTTTGGAGTTGTCTCTCCTAGAAGAGTGGCTGTCCCCAGCTAACGAGCCTCATCTGCCCGAGGGATCGAACTCGAGACTTTTCGGTTAAGCAACCATGAGCTTTACCGACTCGACCACGCCGACCCCAGGGTCTTGCTGTTGAATGCGCAATTATTCATTCGTCTATTACACTATCTAGCTATTTTTAATAACCAAATCAAATACAGTGGTCAAGTACAAAACCCAGTCATTTCCTGATTTATTTATTTTTAAATTTTGCGTTAAGTTACACTTTAGTTAAAAAGAAATAATTTATAAAGGAAATTGTCGACACAACACTCGATGCTGCGATATATGAGGGAAGGAATATTTAACCTCAAATTGGGTGTTAAACAACAAAATAATCAATCTGCCTAACGTTGTCATTTTAAGCGTTAAACCCAAAATATGAGTGACATGCTGTTAAAATATTATTACGGTATATTGTTTTTCGATTTCTGGGGTACGAAATTGATAATTTTATTTTGGGTGATTAGACATATAGTTACTTATAAACAACATCGGCACTATAATTTTGTGATATTTGTCCAAGTTACCGCAGAGACGTGCTAAGATGGGCTGAATTAAAACAAAGGTCTTATGTGTTTTGACCATAGGGGGTATTGCCATTGTGGCTTAGTCCACAGCGGGGCTTTGGCCATAACGGGGCTTTGACCCGCGCGTTTTAACAAATGTTACGAAAATATAAGAAATAAATATGACAACTTAAAAAAATCATTCAGAAGAACAAATTGAAATGTATACCATAAAAGTCATCTCTAAAAATAACATTGATTCGATAAAGCCAGCATTGACTAAAATTATATCGGTAAAGCTAAAAACAATTACATCTACCAGAGTCGCTGAACGGAAAATAAAGAGGTTATTTGCATAACAAAATGAACAGATGAATTTCGTAGGCGGAGTGACGTAGTGTCTAATTAATATAAATAAACTACAGTGTGTGTATATCACTGTTGCATTAATACATACAAGACGAGGTGTGTATCTGATATATACCAACCTACAACATTATTCGAGTGCCTTCTTTAGTCCTAGGTCAAAAAGAAACTTGGAAGGATATAACTTGTACACACCGACATGTCAGGAGCTCTTCTCTGTGTACTTCTAGTTTGTGTCGTTTGCCCAGCATTCAGCTTTCTGTTTAGTAAGTATACACAGCATCTATATTTACTTTAACTGAATATATATATATATATATATATATATATATATATACATATATATATATATATAACACATTTATAATTATAAATAAATATAAGTAATATTTGCTTGACCCTACTATAACCACTGGTGTCAAGCAATAGCTAGAGAGCTCACTTGACTTGTAAAGATGTGTGATGATTTCACTGAAATAAAATGTAAATATCTATCACTCAGACAACTGTTACGACGACCTGGGATGTTTCTCGATGACCTCACCATTCGGCTTTACCCTGCAAAGACCTCTTGCTCTACTCCCTCAATCACCAGCAAATGTCAAGTAAAAATCGTCACTTTTTCTCACTAGAGTTTTATTAAACTTGGTGAAAGTATAGCGTACATAACCGAATCAATAAGAAAAAATGACTCCTTAGTTTACCAAGTTTTAAAATTCACAAATCTACTTGTTTTGTCTACATAACAATTGTATTGGGTGCCAGCAGATCTGGAGACCATAGTCCAGTTCATCCACGAAGTTTAACTTGTTGTATAAATCCTCTGAAATAACTATTATTAAGAGCAAATAGTCTCAACCGTTATTTTCCACTTTATCCAGTGTCTGGGCATGTATAAAAGCCTTATATTTAAAAATTTTATTTAATGTTTTTCCCAGTACCAAATTCCGCCTGTACACACGTACACAGCGAGCCACCCCGCTAGATCTTGAGGCTGTCAATGTGAAAACAAGTCTCCAGACAACCTGGCCAGATTTTTCACCCAGACCGACCAAATTTGTCATCCATGGATTTCTCGATGGTACAGAGATGAACGCGAGGTCTAAGGTCAGACATAAGTGTTAGATACATATTTATGGGACGGCCTGGCCTAGCGGTGAAGCGCTAGACTGCTAACCCGAAAGTTTCGAGTTCGAATCCGGGTTCAAGTTAGTGTAACGTCCTTGAAACCACCCAACTATGATGTGTATCTAACTAACGTTAGGGAAAATAAAGGCGGCTGGGTATAGTGCTAACCAAATTATCCCTTTATATGCCGAGGGCAAGAAACATATGAACTCCAGTTCATCTACCCAAGGTCTAGAGAAGAATTTTTACTTCTTTTTTTAAATTTTTTTTTTACATTTTTATAGTTATAACATTAAATTTCCATTGCAAATATTAATAACATTCATCTTCGTGATGATCAAAAGGCCAAATTAACATTCTTGAAGATGGTTGTGGTAGTTTGTATACTGAGCTACCTACACTTACTCTTACATAAGTCAATATTCAAATACGCTAAGACGGTTCAGGGACGTTCAATCGGACGTTGCACCTCCGTAGCGCTCACTACAGCAGATGATGCTCGATAGCAAAATCAAACAAACTGATGATAAAACGGCATCACTGGGCGTATGACCTTCCAGTAAAGGCCACAGGCCAGGGCGCAAGTGTTCCTAGAAGATATTTAAAGGCCATGTGCTCGCGAACAAGATGAGCCACCTACAGCTGTGGTCAGCCAAGGAGAGGAGTGAAACTTGGCCCTATATACACCACAAACATTTGTGGTGCCCCGACTACCCTTAAAGGTTAAGGACTTCGATATTTAATTAATTAATTTCTCTACCACACAGTCCAATATAAAGAGCATATATTTTATATTTTAATATTACCAGTTTATGATAAGAAATATGAAATGTATTTAATTTTTACTTCCTCGTGTATACGAAGTATAGAGAAAGTATTTGTGATCGTGCAAAACACAGTTTTGCAATCTTGTCCGTATGTCTGTGTGTGTGTATGTGTGTGTGTGTCTGTAAACACGATAACTTGAGTACCGTTACAGCTAGGTTGATGAAATTTCATATATAAGTATTATATCAAATTGGTAGATCCTAATCAACTTTTGAGCGATTTACGATAACCGGAAATGGAACTTTTTCTACTTTAAATTTTTCGTAGGCCTATAACTTGAGTACTATTTCAGATAGATAAATGAAATTTCATATGCAAATAAAAGATATAATTCTCTGGCTTCGGTCAAAATTGAGTAATCTCCTTTGACCGGAAGTAGTAATTTACACTTTCCGATTTCTCAAAAAACGCATGAAGAGTAAGTTTAGGGGAGATCACTCCCGGTTTATTCAAATTTAGTTTATAAACAAAATCATAGGAGCTATACACAAGTTCCTGTTATTTCGATGAGCAGGATTTGAAAGAAAAGCTACTGACCCAGGGAGATTACAACGTTATTCTGGTGGACTGGTCAGCGGGGGCAGTAACCACCTACACTCAAGCTAAGGCCAACACCCAGCTAGTGGGGGCTCAGATAGGTCTTCTCATCAACCAACTCGTGGTAAGTAAGAGCTCTTCACATTAATCAAGGTCATGGTAAGTTGAAAGTCTTCTCATTAATCAAGGTCATGGTAAGTTGAAAGTCTTCTCATTAATCAAGGTCATGGTAAGTTGAAAGTCTTCTCATTAATCAAGGTCATGGTAAGTTGAAATGCCTTCTCATAAATCAACTCATGTCAATTTAAAAACCGGTCTGCATATCATAATTCATCCTAACACACTAAAATTGACCGTTGCTTACAAGTTTGAAATATTTATTTATTTATTTATTTGCTAACTTTAAAAGGCGTACTATTATAGATTATAGTTTATTTTTTACTGATCAAAATTTGGTTTAAAGAAAATAATAAAATAAAGCAGGAGTGATCTCCACTAAACTTTCTCGAATATTCTTATACAACATTATGCTGGATGGCTACTCGGGATATAGACATGATTTTTTATCACTTTTTAATTACAGAAACAGTACTCAAGTTATAAGCTTTTGAAAAACCAAAACAGAATAAGTTCCACTTCAGGTTAACGGAAAAGTTGAAACTGAACTTCAAATTTGATGTAATACTTATATATAAAATTTCATCACACTAGCTGTAATGGTACTCTAGTTATCTTGTTAACAGACCTACACATACACACAGACACATACATACACACAGACATACGGAAAAAATTACAAAATTGCTTTTCCGACTAAGGGAAATAAAGTTTGACACGTTGCGGATTGAAAAGTTTTAGGCGTTAAAATGCATAAACATATTCTGGCTATAAAGCTTTAATTCTGTATTTATTTGTTATTTCTATTAGGTACCAACAAAAAGGTTAAAGAGGTTTTCCTGGTCAAGTCGGTAAAGCTCATGGTTGCTAAACCGCAAAAGTCTCGAGTTCGATCCCTCGGGCAGATGAGGCTCGTTAGCTGGACAGCCACTCTTCTAGGAGAGACAACTCCAAAATCAAACAACTGCTGCCTTGTACTGTAGTTTGTTCTTGGTTGGACAAAGGCTATGGAAGCAAATTCCAAGCCTGCTAAAACCAGAGTCAATGGCCTCAATGGCGCATAACCAGTTGACACGTATCATTAATTGTGTGGAGGCGTGGTTGTGTCGGCAAAAGCTCATGGTTGATACATTCGAACGAGTTTCGAGTTCAAATCCTCTGGCAGATAAGACTCGATCCCTTCCAACACTAAAAATTAAGAAGAAGAAAAAGAGGATACTTTTGACAGATCTTTGAATAAGAGAATATAAAGCCATTAAATGTTTTTGTTCATACTTTTAATGAAACATTTCCATTTGCTGATAAGATTTTCCCGTTCAAGAATGCGAAGAAATTAATGTATCCATGTTGTTACATACTAATAGGGATGCGGACAACCCAGATAATAATTTTTGTAGACTAAAAAAAAAGGTTAAAACGTTAAAAACCAAACAACATTCTGGTTTTTAACTGATTTATTTCAGCAAGTATATCAGTATAGGTATTTAGTATATTGTTTTGTTCAGAGGATTAGCAAAAGAGGGGGGAGGGGGGTGGCGGGTAGGTACATGCGTCCCCGGTGGCCGACCGTAGGAGCATCAAAATGGGTTGGAACAAAATTAAAAGCTTAAAAGCTCATTTAGCTGTAGTTTTGAATTACAAACATAAAAGAATATAGGGGGGGGGGGGCGCGAATCGAAAGTTTGTCCCCGGGCGCCGGGAGGGGTCGCTACGCCTCTGGTTTTGTTGAATGGAAATACATAAATGTATATGTAATTATATATATATATATATATATATATATATATATATATATATATACATAAATATATATATATATATATATATATATATATATATATATATGTATAAATATATATGTATATATATATATATATATATATATATGTATATATATATATATATATATATATATATATATATATATATATATATATATATATATATATAATGCATTTTAACGGAAATAATAATGAACTCCCATCTTAATATTACTTACAACTTACATTACTTTCTATTTAACCTTTTTAGTCATTATCTGCTGCAAGCTAATTATGTTTTCTTTACATATTATCGCGTGACAGGGAAAGTACAATGTCAAGGCCAAAGATATCCATATCATCGGACACAGTCTGGGGGCTCACATAGCTGGCTACGCTGGTCAGAGGGTCAAAGGTCTAGGGAGGATAACAGGTAGGTTTGTAGAGGGTTGTTCGGATTAGGAGGTTTACGGCTAGGTTTGTTAAAGGGTTGTTCGGCTTGGGAGGTTTACAGGTAGGTTTGTAGAGGGTTGTTCGGATTGGGAGGTTTACAGGTAGGTTTGTAGAAGGTTGTTCGGCTTGGGAGGTTTACAGGTAAGTTTGTAGAGGGTTGTTCGGCTTAGAAGGTTTACAGGTAGGTTTGTAGAGGGTTGTTCGGATTGGGAGGTTTACAGGTAAGTTTGTAGAGGGTTGTTCGGCTTAGGAGGTTTACATGTAGGTTTGTAGAGGGTTGTTTGGATTGGGAGGTTTACAGGTAGGTTTGTAGAGGGTTGTTCGGCTTGGGAGGTTTATAGGTAGGTTTGTTAGAATGCTGTTGGTTTGGTATGTTTACATGTAGATTGTTACAAAAACATTAGCTAATGTTTACATTACACGTATTTCTAGGAGGTTTACAGGTAGGTTGTTACAAAAACATTAGCTAATGTTTACATTACAGGTATTACTATTCCTGGTTTGTCTCGCAAATACACAGACCGTTCATGTTTACTACACGGGCAACAAAACACTACTCAAAGACAATACATGCGCCGTCGAATCTACAATTACAATGGTTTTAACTACTCTCAAGCACTGAATACTTATACACTGTAAAAAATCATATGTGAACAATTTCACTAAGGAACTAGAATTTATCCCAAGTTTTATTATTTTTAAAAATATAATTATATTAAGTAGGCTACATACTTATAAGCAGCAACGTATTGCAAGTATTTAAAAAAAAAAAAAAAAAGCACAATTTTAAAAAAATACAAGATTTTAAACTATAAAATATGTAAATCTATATAATGCACATTATAATATACAAAAACATTAATATAAGCAACGGACTCTGTTTTCGAACACCTAATCCCTGCTACCGATGTTATAGTACAGTGTATTCTATTAGAGGTAATGCTAGTAGCATTCTCCTGTATACCTAACTTCCCACTTAGTAAATGCTTGTAACCTTGTTATTTATGCCTGACTTCCTACTGAGGTAATGCTAGTAACATTGTCATATTCCTGACTGCCTATTGAAGTAATGCTAGTAACATTGTTACTGAATCACAAATTATCCAACCAGGTTTGGACCCAGCTGGACCGGACTTCGAGGAAACGCCAGCGGAAGTGAGACTGGACCCAACTGATGCCATGTTTGTTGACGTCATACACTCCGACATTGGGGATCTTATCAATTTCCGTAAATAGTTCGCGGTTTATTGTTTGGATATTATTTGTTGCCCTTTGAAATTTGTAAAAAAATTAATGTACATTGAGCCAAAGTAAGTTAGCAGTGATAGTTAAAAAAGAAAGTTTAGGCGAGTGATCCCCCCTAAACTTTCTCGTATATTCTTATATTACAGTAGGATGGCACAAACAGGTCTATAGAGATGTTTTTATTAATTTTTAAATACTTCAGTTATTTAAACAAAATCACGTAGAAAAAAAATGCGCACTAAATGAAAGCAAACAATATGAGTAATAGAGCGGAAAATTAGCACTTTCTAAAGGAAACTGAGTATCTTTTATGAAATACGGAAAAACTTCCGGTCACCGGAAATCAATCAAAGTTTGGCAGAAAGTGTAAACCGGCGGAAATCGTCAAAATAGCTGTTCATTATTCAGCACGATTACAATACTTCTCTTTACTTTGCATACGAGAAAGTAAACATCTATTATTAAATTTTTGATTAACCATTCTTTTGCTTTATCTTAATAGAAATTAAATTAAATTTTATCAATATGTCATACGTCATGTAAGGCCAGTGGACTCCTACTTCAACCTGCTTTTCTTTATTGATTTGATTTCTGGCCTTAGTACAACCAAGAGTTATATCCACTTCTGCAGTTGTTGCATTTGGAAATGTTTTCTCCTTGAAGATTGAATGTACCCACCTAAAGAGTCTCATCTGCCCAGGTTTAAGAGCTCTGGACTTTAATGTTAGCATTCATGAGCTTACTCTTTCGACCACGCCTGGATCTGAAACAACTTTCAGTTAACAAAAGTGAAAGTGAATTGCACTTTGAAATAAGCTCATTATATTTTTGCTTATTGGCTCCAATGTTTTGAATTGCACGTGAATTATATTACATGATCCAAAGTTAGTCTATGATAACTAATTAGAAAATGTCAAATGGTTATTATTATTATATGCTTCAATTTTCATTAATTATATTTTTGTGAAATATGAATTGTATGATACACAGGTTGATTTTATCTAGTATTTCACAGATTTTGGAATCAAACAGTCTGTAGGTCACGTTGACTTTTTCCCGAATTCAGGTTACAAGCAACCAGGATGTAGCCAGTCAACAATCGATTCGATTAAACAATGGGGACTCATTAGCGGTAAGCTGTTTTAATGACATCATTAATTGTTGTGATTAGTGGAGACTCATTAGCAGTAAGCAGTTTAATGGCATCATTAAGTGTTGTGATTAGTGGGGACTCATTAGCGGTAAGCTGTTTTAAAGCAAAATCTGTTATTATTCGTTTCAGGCCTATGACTGTATCTTAAATTGTGCTCTGTTAATTTCAGGTGTAAAGGGAAGGTTAACCTGCAACCACAGTCGTGCCGTTGAACTGTTCGCTGAGAGCATCAACTCCGGCTGTAGGTTCAGGAGTTACCCGTGTGATAGTGAGGACAAATTTAAAGTAGGTCCAGTGAATGGAACATTTATTACTGTAGCTACGTCAGGGGCGTAGTCAGATTACTTTTGGTGTAGATGAAGTATATACACACATATATATAAATAAATAAATAAATAAATAAATAAATAAATAAATAAATAAATAAATAAATAAATAAATAAATATATATATATATATATATATATATATATATATATATATATATATATATATATATATATATATATATGTGTGTGTGTGTGTGTGTGTATATATATGTAACTTGGTTGTTAATATATATGTCATCTGACAGTCAGGACAATGCACCACCTGTGGTCCATCTGGTTGTGCCAACATGGGATTCTGGGCTGACACCAACAAGAACGCTACAGGCAAATATTACATCAAGACAAATGGTGCTGCACCTTTCTGCACGTCTTGATGATGCAAGTCTTTTGTCTTAAATAACGACCGTAGGGAATGCAATAGACTTGTAAATGATTTTAGCGATCTTTAACATAACATTTTAAATCGGCTGTAAGAATGTTTAAT